GGAGGTATGTGTGGCCTGGGCAGATAGTGATAGAACAAGGGAGAACGGTTTTAAACTAAAAAATAGGAAATTTATATTAGATTTTAATAAATAAATAATATATATATATATATATTTTAACCCAGAGGGTGGTGAGGCACTGAAACAGGTTGCTCAGAGAAGTTTCCCATCTTCAGAGAAGTTTCCCATCTCTGGATGAGGCCCTGGGCAAACTGATGTAGTGGATGGCAACCTTGTCTGCAGGAGGGGGTTGGGACTGGTTGGGCTTTAAAGTCCTTTCCAATCCAAGCTTTTCTGTGATTCTGTGACTATGATTCTATGACTCTGTGTTTCTTTGCAGGATATGAGGTATGATAATGAAAGGAGAAACAGTTAACTGTATTCTTGCCAAGTCATCCTGTTTCCTAGGGTCTCTAGAGCAACAAAGAGAGGAAGGATTCATTAGGGGCTGTTCAGAATTTTTCCATTGAAACAATGCCTGAATAGAAAATCAGTTTCTTGGCTAGTTGACCAAATAAACTGAAGAACTTCTGCATTCCTTTTTAGTTTGCTCTTTTTGGTTGGAAAAAAAAAAAAAAAAAGGCTTTCAGCTATGTTTAGCTTACAACACCTTTGATTTGCTAGACCCTTTCTTCTGGAAAAGATCATTCTGAGCAACAATATTTATATAAACATTTCAGAAACTGGAGACTAAAGATGATCTTGAAATGCAACAAGTTGTAGTGTTAGAACTGAGGATACCAGCAAAGCAAGAGCTGTAGGTAACGTCTTTCAGTATATCAACCGTATCACTGAGGAAAAAAAAAAAAAAAAAGAGTATACAAGCCCTTCCTCAGTTTTCACTAGTTTGTGGAAAGGCCCTTGCCTTTCCTAAAAGGCAAAGAAGTATGTCTTCAACTTCCACAGAATTGCTCTCCTGAGTCTGTAATTGCTCTCTTCACACACACACCCATAAACAAACAAGTTTAAAAACCACTTATCTTGCACTGGTTTGCATCTGCCAAACACCATGTTCTCTGAAAGGTTAGAAAGAAACATGGGATTCCTCTTACTTCAACAATCTAACTGACTTTGACAACTAAATTTCCCCATAAATATGTTTAGAACTTCCTTTATATAGAAGTGTGAGTCATTCTGACAGGCTTAATTTGTACTGAAAAATGTATGTGTTAAACTTATTAGCCATTCAGGCTAGAGAGACTGTAAACAGTAGATTGATGACATTTGTACTTCATGTACTATACACTATGTGCTTACAAAGTGAGAATATAAGAGCTTGTGGAAGGCATGCTGAAGATTTGATAGAAATTGTATCCTAATCCCTTTCTTCTCTTGAGTTGAAGTTTTGTTGTTCTTTCGCTTTTTAAAATGAGAATGTGTATGAAAAGATGGCCTGTTTTTAACTGCATCATATTATGGCAAATGTATGCATATTTCCAGCAGAACGAAACAACTACTAAGAATAAATGCAACAGTTCAGTGGAATTAATAAAGCACTGCATCATAGACAAAATGAATAAATGGTGGAGTTTGAAGACCCATCAGCTGAGTCTAAGGAAATGTTAAGGAGACACAAGTTCAAGCCTTTGCTCAGTAACTTTGAGGATATCTGGGTCTGAACATCTCTGGCTTGCTTTCTATGTTAAAGCACGCCTGACTTGTAAATAAAGTGAGAGTGGAAGGGAAAGGGCAATCACAAAGTCAAGTGTGATTTAGTTGGGAAATCTCCCAACCTCTCTCACTTCTTGGTGTTAAAATAAAAGCTTTCCAGATGGTAGTTCTAGACTCAGGTCTTCATAAACCACCTATGTATGTACAGAGGAGCTCTGTCAGCTTGAGCTGACTCCTGAGTCCAACCTGTACATGCCTCTGTGCCAACCTGTTTGGGAGAGCTGGCAGCTTCCCCAGGCAGGGAAAAGCAGGCAGGAGAATTCATGAGAGATCTTCAGGATTTGAGACTACTGACCAAATTGTTGGATCAAGTACTTGGGTCTCAAGCATTGCTACCAAGTGAGGTATAGGTCCCATCTCAAAAGAAGAAAGTCAGCTTTTTGCTTTGAATGAACTTCTAGATGAATATGTTTACCTCTCTGTTTGTTATTGAGAAGACATAAAACAGTCAAGTTAATTTAACTTTGTTAGAATGAATAATGGCAGAACTAACTCCTCTCGTAATCAAACAGTAGAAAAAATCATGCAGTTTGAGAACACTCACTTGCTTATTCCACTGTGATGTTGGTTCTCTGGATGTTTTTCTCTGGTTCTCTGGGGTTTTACGTCATCCAGGTTGGGTTTAATGTCGTCCAAGTTCAGTTTTATGTAGTCCAGGTTGGGTTTTACGTAGTCCAGGTTGGTTCTCTGGATGTTGGATCTGGATGATGGGACTTAGGATTCAAATCATCCTGCCTTGGTAGACAGAGCTCAGAGTGCAAGGCCATAGCTAAAGCTGAGGCTGATCTGATCAATATAATGCTTTCCTCGTCTCCAATTCCTTAGTAAATAGCTGTTCAAGAAGCTCAAGAAACCTAGCCATATCATGTAGGGCACATTATGTCAATGTCCTTCTTATTTATTCTACTGAGAATTTTCTATAGCCAAATATTTAAAAATTCAACTGTAATATGGAGAGGCAGTCTCCATCTTAAAGACTCTAAGGATTTGCTTATAAATCATAACCTTGTCATTGATACTTGAAAAATCTTTGTAGGTTATCAAATCCAATAATTACACCTGTAGCCACGAAGAAGATTTCTGCTGAAATTATTTTCTATTGCTCTCCATATCTTCTTCCTCTCTTTGGAATGTATTGTGAGCATGGAAGAGTGGATAATGTGAATCCCCAGTCAAATAATAACCCACGAAAATAAAGGCAGATTAGAGGAATATGAAACTAAACACTCATCTGATCTGCATGTTCCAATTCTATGAACTCATGCATAACTAACAGCTTTGGTGTGATGTCCTTTGCAGAGAATTTTGTTTCTTTTCCCTTGCAGAGAACTTTTCTGCTGGAAATCTACTGCGTTGTTATCTTCCACAGCAAATGTTGGCAGCACGGTGGAATAGTTAATGAACACGTGACTCATCTGGGGCACTGTAACTTCTGTGTGTGTTTGCTTTGCGTAACAAACCTGCCACAAACTGAACATGCACAGTGGCAGATCGCTTGTGCTGTGCACTACATATGTGGGCTGGACTGCAGATCTCCAAAGTCCTGAAAGATTAGGACTCCAAACATGCATCAGGAAAGGATAGGATTGTATATCTGATTATGATGTGATTGTACATACAGAATAAGTACACATAAAAGTACAGATTAAAATCAATGTGGGTCTTTTGAGTGTTTTCTTGATAGGACTTCAATAAGTCTGTTGTTTCACGTTTTTGACTATAGTGAATCAGAAAAGAGAAACCCAAGTGTTTGTCTCTGTGCTCTTGTTGCTCTGGGATAATAAAGCTGATTCTATGTTGTAGTCAAAGTTAGACCATGGCAGAAAACAAAACAAAGAAACTCACTCAACAGCTAACATCTTTAAAAAAAATTCTACACTCACAGATGTTAATTTAAAAATTAACAAAATACCAGAATTTTTGTTGTTTGCAAATTTTCATTCAGTTCCTTAGGTTACAGTCTTGAATTAAATAATCACACATGATTTCTTCTACTCTGCCAGGGTTATGATTCAGAATTATGCTGTGAAGGCATCTGTTGTCTGTTAAGTCCCCTGACTCATTTGTTTGTACAAGTTGGAAGATGTGAAATGAATGAGGCGGGGGACAGAAGGGAGAAAGCGGGTTGTCTTATGGCTGAGGTAGATGAATGTCACTCAGGAGAGCTGGATTTCATCCCTGTCTCTGACACAAGGATCATGCGAGAAGCTGTGTAAATCATTTAAACCAGGATTGTTATTTCGAGTTATGAAAAAGTGGAATTATGTCCCATGTTTGGGTATTGATTTCAGTTCCTTCATGGATCTTTTTACAGCCAAATGGTTTTCTGCCCTCCTGCTTTGTCCTTCCTCTGCTGAGCCCATGAGAGAGCTGAGTCCTCCTGTCCTGGAGGGACCATGTCAGGACCTTGGCAATTACCTTCCAGGCTTTGTGGCTCTTCCAGAGCTCTTGAATTAAGGCTGGGGTTTGAAGAAACTCAGGAATGGGAAGAAAACTGTCCTAGGATGTGAGGTAGCATGGACTGTGCACTATTGTCCCCTTACCCTCTGTAGAGGAAATGCTAAATCATGGCCTGAAGCAGGGATTGAGCACCTGGTGGGAAGACAGGGCCAACCCAGGGAAGCTCAGGTGCAAGCAATGCACCTGAGTGACTGGAAAGGGTGGAGCCAGGATCCACCCCTTTCCAGACCTCATTTAAAGATATTTCTTGCTAGAGATTCCTGTCTACCTGAGGCCAATTCAGAAGTAAGTAGCTCTTTTCCTTCATTTCTGTGTCTGTAGCTGCTGTGTTCGGGTTCATTCTCATTTGCTGTAGCCATCCTGCTATTATCATCTAATTATAGCATTACACCCTTGTAACATTTTTCCATGGCCAAGTATGAGGACAAAACAATATCAGACTTTGTTCATATTAAATTTGTTGAAGTTGTCTTTCTCCTTCTGGGCATTCCCATGTGCTTTCCTACACAGATACAACACTGTTCATCAGCAGTGCTGCCATTGACAGAGGTTGGCTTCTTGATCTTGGGACAGATTCTTTAGTATGGCCTGTTGTGAAAAGGCTAGGGGAAATGATTTCAAACTAAAAGAGGGGAGATTTAAACTGGGTATAGGGAAAGAGTTTTTTTTATGATGAGTGTAGTGAAGCACTGGAACAAGAAGTGGTAGATGCTCTATCCCTGAAGACATTCAAGATCAGGCTGGAGCAGACCCTGAGTAACCTGATCTAGCTGTAAATGTCCCTGTTCATTGAAGGGGTTTGGACTAGATGATCTTTAAAGGTCCCTTCCAACTCAATGAATTCTATGATTCTGTGACCTAATGAGAATGTTGTAGACCTCACAAAAGGACACAAGCAGAGCACAGGACATGTAGTCAGGCATAGAGGTGAGCTGAAAGATTTGGGGCTTAATTTGAAGTTCTGATGACTGTGGTCCACTTCTTTGTCCTTTACAAGTAACTCTTGAGCTGGATGTCCTTGTTCCAGTATCATTCTAGTCCTACCCCTATCACTTTACTAACTATCACTCAAATGAGACTCAAAAGCGTCTCATTTAGAGATTCTTAATCTGATTGCTCTTCCTTTCCTCAATCTCTTTTTCCCTCAGGAAATCTTACGTCAGTCTTTATCAACTCTCATTGTTTGGTTTTATTCCTCTACAGATCAATCAGTCTCACCCCATTCCTCATGCACTTCTGAGAATGGTTTCTCTGCACATGTGTAGTTCCACCTCTTCCCTCAGTGTGGCCATGCCATCTGCTTGGACCTATACCTCACCTCTCCGCACCTAGGCCGTAAGTACAATTCCTCTGTGTTTACCAAATTGCTGTGTCTTTGCCCTGTTTCAGTCCAACTTTCTATTCCTTTATTGATATATAGACCTAGTTTTCTCCTTCAGAAATTCCACATTTTCCTATACACTTCTTCCTCACAGCCTTTGATCTACCTTTTGTTCTTCCCTGGAGGAGGCAGGCAGCTCCCTCCTGTCTGTGATGCTTGGCTTTAGCAGTGAGTGAACTAGGACTGCAAGAGAGCAGCTCCCTGGAGCAACATCTAGTGTGCTTAAAGCCTAAACTATATAGGGACAACCACTGCAGAGGAAAACTAGACTTCTTTCTTCTAGCCCTATGCTGCAGAATAACTTTAAATTATTATTTTATTTTCTGAGTGACTGTAAGCAAATACAGTTCAGTCACGTATAGAGCTTGCAAGGAGGTGGGACATGCTTAGTGAAGAGACACTGCCTGGGGAGTTCAGCTATTAAACTCCCTCAAGTCTTTATGAGGTATGTGTAAACTACTACTTGTCAGTAGCTTGTGCATTTTTGGGATCTGTATGTATTTCACAGGAAAAAGTGAATAAACAAGGTTTATTTTTAACTGAAGTTCAACTCTTCCTCCACACGGTTCCTGGAAAACACAGGACTCCTCAGCTATGCAGCTAATCTTTTTTAACATTATTTAGCTGTAGTTTCTCTTTCTTAATCCACTTTGTTTGTGAAAAGTTCTTGGCTACTTTTAGAGATAAGGTAGCATGGGGCAGATGACAAGTGTGAAACCTCAGCCCTCAACACTTAAAGTTTCTTGAAGCTGTAAATGTGACTGCATGAAAAGAAACGTCAGAAAGCCTTAGCTGGGATGAAAATAAAGTATTTCCAAGATGAAGTACAAATGGAGCTGCTTTGTGTCCATGTTTTACTTAGCCAAATATTTTCTTTGGTGTCAATTAGATCATCTCTAGCCTTTATACTCAAGGATCATACAGGCACATAGACACAAAGCAAATGCCTTATCTTTCAGTATCTCATTTTCTTAGTAGTTTGATGTAGATATACTTTTTCTCCTCTCCTTTTTGAGGAATAACTACCTTGAAGGGAATGGAGAAAGTGAATAATGTCTTAGAATCATAAAACCATTGAATTTAGGTTGGAAGGAACCTCAAAAATCACTTAGTTACAACTCCTCTGTTGGGGCAGGGAAATCTGCTAAGCCAGGTTGCCCAAAGCCTCATCCAACCTGGCCTTGAACACCTCCATGGATGGGCAACTTGTTCCAATACCTCATCACCCTCATCATGAAAATTTTCTGCCTTATATCCAATATGTTGGAACACACTGGATTCACCAGGCTGTAGCAGTGGATCATAGCCTCTAAAAGGCAAGTCCTGGCCTTGTGCATTCCTGCAGAGGAGTGGGACTGCCTCTCCAGCACGTGTGGCTGAGTGCTAGGAAGCCACAAGCAGGGCCATTTGTATTCACTTTGGATGTGAAGTTTGTCTGCATGGAGGGGTGTGGAAGATCTTGCAGCTCTACTGCTGAGTAATTTTTGTTATGGAAACTTGTTTTTAATGCGTTCCATACGAATCCTCAGAAAAGGAACCACTTGAGAAGTATATCATAATTCTAAGTCTAGATAAACAACCCAATAAAGAATGGAAAATATGTATTTTGTCAGAAGGCACCACTAAAAAATGTTCACATATGGCAATGATTTCCTCAGTATTTGACAAAGGATTGGCCCAGGAGTCGTCCTCTGTAGATACAGATCAGATTTATCACTGTGGTAATGTCACCTGACTCGTAGAATGTTTAGGCTGTGAGTCAGCACAGCAATGGAGTTTTCCAGCATGTACAGTATTTAACTTGTCCTTTTCCACTATCTGGCTCTGATTTTGTTTTTAACATTATTGAGAAGTGATTCTTCCTAGTTAAGGTTACAAATGAGTTTGTCATAGAAGTTTGCTTTGGCTTCTCTCTGTGAGCTGCCCCGCCTCACCTCTGCCTCAGGATCTCAGAGCTGGTAACCCAAGCTGAGAACAAGAGAATGCTGCATCTTTCCACAATGTGAGGTTAGCAGTAGGAAGGTTTATGGTGATCAGAGAATGAAAGGATTCCCATGGCAGAAAAAGAAATCCTCCCTACTTTGCTGCTTTCTTAACCATCTTCATGAAATGAGCAGAGAAATGCTTAATTTCTGTGAGATCTTTTAGGTATTTCCTTATCATCCGGGAAAAATAGGCCCTGTTTTTTTCATCACAATTTGAGGACACAGTGGCTAGAATAAAGAAGAAAACAAGAAAAACATGTCATCATTAGCCCTGTGTGATGAGCAGACTCTGGATTTGAGTACTCTGTGTTTTTGGGGCAATTATGTAGATAAAGAATTTTAAGATCTTGGCGAAGACTGCGTGCCTTATAATATGTGACCCAGACAAATAAAAAGTGAGCCTGGGGCCACTGAAGCTGTAGACCCCTCTGTTGTGCTGATGTGCCCCTATGTGTGCAGTGCCTCTCTGTACCCATCACAGCCCCTGCTTGGAGCAACACCCAGACCCCACAAAGAAAAGCCACTTCTGTTCGAAGCCCTGGGATGCCTCAGTGCTGAGGAAGGTCTGGATTTTAAAAAAATCTTAAATATTTCTTGATTATTTTGTTTTAGTTTATGTTTCTTTTCAGCTTGCACTGTCACTAGTATGGGATCTGGGAAGGCAGTTCTTTTGTGAAGTACCTGTTCTTAAACAAAAACTTTATAGGAACTGTGGGAGCCTAATAGGATGTAAATTACGCTCTGTGTGCCATGCACTGAGTGTTGTGGCACATAGATATCTTTTTACTGGATTTATCCCTGGACTCTTCTCCATGAGAAACAATGCAAGAGCATCAAAACTCAGTTCAGTGCTCAAATACTTTAGATTTAGTTCAGCATATCGTCTGGAGTTGCGAAGTTGGCTCTCATGGCCTGGGGTCACTCTATCAGTGCAGCCCTTACATACACCCACAGCACTTCCTCTGTTAATCCATTGGACGTGGGACATGTCTTGCTTACTGGACATGCAGTCCACATGCTTAAAACTGTGCATAAAACTGCAGAGAAATAGGGATGAAAGAACCTCAAAAAATCATATGTTGCATCTCCCAGGCCAGACTAGGTCAGCGATGTGTTTGACTCTCGTGATTTGTCAGGAGGCATTCAAGGCCAGGTTCTGGGCAGCCTGGTCTGGTGGTTGGTGACCCTGCACATAGCAGGGGGGTTGAAACTGGATTACCGTGGTCCTTTTCAACGCAGGCCTCACAGCCTCTATGATTCTATGCCTCACAGCATTCCCAGGTGATCTGTTACACCAGGCTCACCATGTATTCGTTGTTTCTTCCTTGTACTGTCATTTAAGCTCATTATGCTTTTTCCTTATCTGTTCTCGAAAACAGAGAACAGAATATTCTTTCTCTCTGTAGCTTTTATTATTATTATTATTTGAAATTATTTGAACACTGTTCTGAGGCTCCTCACTATTTTCTAGTCTATGTTTCTCTTATTTTTGCTGGTCACCCATGTGGATCTGACACACCCAGACTTGTACTGGTGAGGTCTGAAGTAAGTTTGATGAAAAAGCTTGGTTAAAAAGAAAGTAACAGGGCAACACCATTATGACAGAAGCAGCTGCATGCTACTGAACCAGAAGAATGCATTTTTGTGTGTGGTTGACTGACTCATCCCAGATGTAGATTTGGGAGGAAATGGTAGGTTCTAAGTACCCAGATCTTATCTGGAAAGGAAAAAGATGGGGTGGTGTAAATCTTGGATTTGAACCAGTTAGCTGATTGGAACAAGCTGGTTACCTGTACTCTGTTTTGAAGAAAAACTAGGGTATCCTATAGGTACTTCTCAGAAATGGGAAGTGGATACATAAGTCAGCTTTAGAGCTGAAGCCAGTATAACTGAAACTACACAACAAAACATGCCACCTGAAGGCATGTCACTGGTTTAAAATAGTAAGCTCTAGAAATGAGGAAGCACTATTAACTATTTTTACTGGCATTTGGTTTATTAGCCTGCAGAGGGTAACATGTTAGAACGTTTCCAAGCGTTCTCCTGGAAGCTTCTGTGAAAGACTGAAAACTGAGATACTTGGCTAATCACTTGGCTCTAGAAATAGAGACTTTGGGAAAGCACCAAATGTTGTAATTACATTACTAAAATAGGTGTCATAACATTTTGCTTCTTTTTTGTGTGAAAATGAAAGAGCTGCAGTTGTTGATGAGTTCTTGGATAAGAAAAAGGTGACTCACATTGGAGCTCATACAGCCATCTCAAACATCAAGCTTGATTCATTCCCTTCTTGTCACTGTGAGAGATTTCAGAGTGTTGTCACAATTGTTTGACAAGAAGAGAATTCAGATAGGGTCACATTGCAACTCCCTATGCCATACATAGAGGGCCCAGGGGCACCTTAAAGATTTAAGATGTTGGAGCAGGAGAATACGACCTTAGCTGACATATCAGATGGAAATAGACCATCTGAGGTAAGTTCAAGCTTATCATTCACTTTTACCAAGTTCATTGTGAGATGTGGGAACCATCAATACTTATTATGCGAAACAGTCAATAATGCTTAGGGAGAATTTGTGGGCATATGCACTGACATAAGAGATTGCTGTAGCTCTAACTCTAAAAGATGTTTTGCTTTCTATTGATTAGAATTTTGAGGAGGGAGAAATATTTAAACTCAAGATAGAGCTACAATTATGTGTGATGGATCTCAATGTAATTCAAATATTTACTTAATGCATGGTAATTTAAACGAATTAGACATTAGTCTACAATTGCAATCAAAATGTGTTTTCCCTAAGACTTTAGCTGTTCTAATGATTCTTTTAGTGTAAAGAAAAGCCTGCTGCTTGATTGAAATATGTCCAAAAGGCATCACAGCTGACAGGAACTTGAATTGGTCTTCAGCATTCATTTCTGAGAGCAGAGGCAACATAATCTGACAGCAGATGTTAAGCAGGCAGCATTTT